GTGTGGTTGGTGGAGAGACTGTATTGTCTGGAGGGTTTGATTCAGGTCTGTCTGGGAGTATAGATTCAGTGTGGTTAGATTCAGATTCTTGGAGGTCTGGAATAGTGTCTGAAATGGGATTCAAAGACTAGATTTCCTGAAATTTAGTTTTGGAATAGAAAGGCTGATTTTCAAAAAAGGTTACATCCATTGTGATGCAGACCTTTTTGGTGGCAGGAGAATAACATTTATATCCTTTCTGGTTGGCAGCATATCCTATGAATATACAAGGTAAGGATTTAGGATCCAGTTTTGACCTAACTGGAGAATGGTTGTGAACAAATGCTTTGCAACCAAAGACCTTTGGTGGAAGATTGGTAATAGGGATGTGAGGATGTAGATAAGATAGGATTTGGTATGGTGTTTTAAATTTGTGAGTTTTGGAGGGCATCCTATTTATCAGGTAAGCTGCAGTTAGGACAGCCTCTCCCCAGTAGTGTTTAGGAGTGTGAGTGGTGAACATAAGGGCTCTAGCAACTTCCAGTAAGTGTCTATTCTTCCTTTCTGACACCCCATTCTGTTGTGGGGTGTCAACACAGGAGCTAATGTGTATAATCCCCTTTTTTGACAGAAACTCTCCTAAATTGGATAAGAAATATTCTTTGGCATTATCAGTTTTAAAAACCTGAATCTTGGTTTGAAACTGAGTTTTGATCATAGAATAGAATTTTTGAAAGATAATATTGACTTCTGACTTATCTTTCATGAGGAAGACCCAGGAAAGACGTGTATGATCATCAATAAACAGAACAAACCACCTTGAGCCAGTGAGATTTTTGACCTTAGATGGGCCCCAAACATCACTGTGGATGAGTGAAAAAGGTTTAGATGGTTTGTAAGGTAGACTGGGATAGTGACTTTTAGAATGTTTAGCAAGTTGACAAAATTCACAATCAAAAGTAGAACTTTTATTTATGAATAATGAAGGAAATATTTTTTCTAAGTACAAGACATTAGGATGACCAAGACGATAATGCCATAACTGAATTTGAGTATCAAATTGACTCCTACTAAGACTCCCTAAGAACTTATGGTTGAATTGTCTCTCACTGGAAGTTGTCTTGTTGGTGGAGTTGGGTGAATGTTCCAGAAGATAGAGTCCACCACTTTGCTTAGCACTGCCAATCACCCTCCCCGAATCCAAATCCTGAAATTCACACAATTGTGAAGAGAATTTAGTTAGGCAATGTGTATCACTATTCAGTTTACTGACTGATAAGAGGTTAAACTTTAAATCTGGAACATATAACACATTGTTAAGCACTATCTTGTCAGAAATTTTGACTCTTCCAGTCCCTTTTATTGCTGAGGTAGTTCCATCGGCAATCTTCACAGTTACCTTATTCTTCATAGGGATCAATTTAGCAAAAAACTTACTGTCTCCAGTCATGTGATCTGATGCCCCTGAATCAACAATCCAATAGGGCTGATTGTGTGCAACTAGGGTTGTTAGGGCATTACCTGTCTGAGCAGTAAGGCTAGTTGATGGTGCAGGCCCCTTGCTCTGACTTATTAGATGTTGAAGAACCTCAATCTGCTCATTGGTAAATGCAGCAAGATTAGAAGTGCCCATATCTTCTTTATCTCCAATAGCTACATAGGATCCTTTCCCTTTGCTTGGTTTGAAATCTTTAGGTTTACCATGCAAATTCCAACATGTTTCTTTGGTATGGCCTGGTTTCTTACAGTGATCACACCATGGCCTCCCTTTTTTCTTGTTTTCATTCTGTCTGGAAGAGGTATATAAGGCTGACCCTTCAATATTTTGTTGTTGGCCTTGAGATTTCAGACCCATCATTACCTTCCTTCTGCTTTCTTCTCTTCTGACTTCTGAGAAGGCTTCTCTAAGGGTGAGTTTCTTTCCCATTATTCTGCCCCTAACCTCATCTAGACTCTTGTCTAAACCTGACAGGAATTTGAAGACTCTCTTCCTTTCACAGATCTCCTGATATAACTTCTTATCCTTAGAACATGACCAATTGTATGTCTCAAACACATCAAGATGCTGCCAGAGTCTCACAAGGTTGTTGAAGTATTGAGTTACACTCAATTCTCCCTGCTGAAGGTTATGTAACATTGATTCAACCTCAAATAATTCAGAAGTGTTATCTGAAGTTGAGTATGTTTCTTTCACAGCCTCCCAGATCTCTTGAGCTGTTTTGTATAGTAGGAAATTTTCTCCTATACTGGTTGTCATGGAATTGATTAGCCATGACATCACAGTATAATTCTCCTTTTTCCACTTCTTGTAGCCTGGATCTCCTTGATCTGGAGCAGGTGCATCACCTGTCAGATAGTCCTCCTTGTCTTTTCCACACACATACATCATAACGGACTGAGACCATTGTAGATAATTACTACCATTCAGTTTATGGCAAGTAATAATCGAATCTGACTGATTAGGAGTGGTGACTGTGCTTCCATTGATATTCTGGTTGCTGCCATCTCCAGTTGGGACAACCTCTGAATGTTCAGAGGTGACTGGGATAGATCCATCTCTCTCGGTGGTCATCCCATAGGATCCGAACTTAATCATTTTAGAGAATAACCACGCTCTGATACCATGTAGAAATAACTTGAGAAAGTAAAATGTATTTTATTTCTCTTATTCTGTGTAATACAATGAGATGAATACAGAATATATATAGCTAGAGAAAAGTGGAATAAGGAAGGAATCCTCCTAATTAAGATTCCCTAATAAAGACAAGATAATTGAGGATATTTAGAGGTTCTGAGATCTCTAAGATATCTCCTCATAAATGCTAAATCGGAGGAGTAATTATCTGTAATAATCTACACTTCTCCACCTTGGCTTGCAACCATGCAATCTGAATACAATGCCTTGATATCTAACAAAACTTGGTCTCTAGTCACCCTTCCTCCAGGCAAACAGGTCATTGGCTGCAAATGGGTATTCAGAGTAAAGGAAAATCCTGATGGTTCTGTGAATAAGTTCAAAGCCAGGCTGGTGGCAAAAGGGTTTCATCAGAGGTTTGGATTTGACTTTGGAGAAACATTTTCTCTAGTAGTCAAACCTGTCACAATCAGAGTTTTGCTTACACTTGCTGTCTCTCACCAATGGTCTATACAGCAACTTGATATTAACAATGCCTTTCTCAATGGGGATCTTGAGGAAGAGGTCTACATGTCACAACCTCCTGGTTTTCAGGCCAAAGATACCTCCTTTGTATGCAGACTACATAAATCTTTATATGGCCTCAAACAAGCTCCAAGGGCTTGGTTTCACAAGCTCACTTCAGTCTTATACAATGCTGGTTTCAAACAGAGCAAGAGTGATCCTTCTCTTCTTATATACCTCAAACCTGGGATCCAAATTTACATCCTCATCTATGTTGCTGACATTCTTGTCATTGGCAATAATTCCACAGTTATCCAACAAATCATTCAAACCCTTCACTGTTCCTTTTCTCTCAAACATCTGGGAGATATTGATTTCTTTTTAGGAATCCAAGTTAAAAAGCTTCCTAATGGTTGTCTGCACCTCTCACAAGCCAAATACATCAGAGATCTTCTTCACAAAGTTGGAATGACAAATTCCAAGGGTGTGAAAACACCTATGGTGAGTACCTGTAAGCTCACCAGTGAAGGAAGTGACCCTCTTCTTGATCCCTCTCATTACAGATCTGTTGTTGGAATTCTGCAGTATGCTACTCTAACCAGACCTGAACTTAGCTATGTTGTAAATAAGGTGTGTCAGTTCATGAGTAATCCTTTACAAGACCACTAGAAAGTTGTGAAACATATACTGAGATATCTATCTGGCACTATTACTCATGGACTGATCATCAAACCTCTTCCCTTGACAAAAATACCTCTACCAATCTCAGCTTTCTGTGATGCTGACTGGGCATCAGATCCTACAGACAGAAAATCTACATCCGGGTCATGCATTTTCCTAGGCTCTAATATTATCTCCTGGTGGTCTAGGAAACAACTGAGGGTAACAAGATCTTCAGCTGAAGCTGAATACAGAAGCCTAGCAGACACTACAATCAGAACTTTTATGGGTTCAATTTTTACTCAAAGAACTTCAAGCTCCTTTTATCACTCCAAGAATTTACTGTGACAATCTCAGCACTGTACAGCTAGCTCACAATCCTGTCCTACATTCTCGCATAAAACATATGGAAATTGATCTTTTCTTTGTCAGAGAGAAAGTTCATCTCAAACAGCTTGAAGTCTTTCACATTCCAGCCTCCCAACAAATTGCAGATGTGTTGACTAAGCCTCTATCTGCTTCCACCTTTCTTGAGTTCAAAGACAAACTGAGTGTGATTGATTTTCCAGTTCAATCACCCTCAATTTGAGGGGGGAATGTTAGGAATAGTATATAGAAGCTACACGTACATTGCTTTGTAATTAGTATTAGTTGTGCTTCTGTTATATTTGCTGCAGTTAGTTACAACCATAGCTTCTATAAATACTCTGTACACTTTCTATTTTTCAATAAGATGATTTCACTCCTTTCTTCTACCTTGCTCTATTTCTAATATATTGTATATAGCATTGTACTAAAATCATAATCTGTACTAGGGAATGTTTAGTTACCGGTTTTCAAATTTTCATCTCACTATTGTTCCTTCTTATGAAGGTTGCAATGAAGGGCATCCTACGTAAAACTTTGCCACTATGCATTTCGCATAAATTTATAGCGTCATTTACTCTTTTAGTTCTATAAAATTAATTGGCACTATAATTTTAATACCATCGACCCAACTAGTTGGAGTTGAGTTTTTTTTAAAAATGACGTTTCTTCAAATTTTTAATTAATGTGGGAAAGTATAATTCCTATTCAAGTTCAGCTATTTTGTAATTAGAGTGCTATTTCACTTGAAATCCAATTACTTTTTCTTCTTTGGAGCCCCACGATGGGCGACAAAAGGAAAAAGAAAAAAATATTCATGTAATATCATATGTGACAAGTTTGTCAAATTTTGTAGTGTTGATGAAGTGAGAGGGAGTAACATTGCCATCGCTGTGGGAATATGTAGATGAGATTTCAGGTACATATAATTGTGTTACGGGCGTGGTTGAGATCTCGTTTCAGATCCTGGAAATAGAGAATATAAGAGAGGAATAATAAAATAAGCCTAAGGTAGAATTAATCGCTATCCGACTTTGTCAAGAAACGCAAGACTTAATTCTTCCGAAGCTATTTATTGAATAACACCAATGTTTTTAAAGACCGCTTGAGAAACGAGATCATCAGACAAAAGGTGAGAGTAGCACCAATAGAAGATAAGGTGGAATCTCGATTGCGTTGGTTTGGTCATGTGCGCACAAGACCGAGTGATGCAAGTGTTAGACGACTTGAAAGGTGGAGAGAAGAGGCATAGAGGAGAGGGAGAGGAAGACCCCAGAAGACTTGGATTAGAGGAATCAGAACTGATATGCTTTTTCTTAGGTTGGATGAGAGTATGACTTTGGAGAGAGCAAAGTGGAGAGCGAAGTGGAGGGCGCATATCCGTGTGACGATTGATCTCCTTTCTCTCTTTTCACTCTCGTTTTCTTTCATCTTTTATCTTCTTTATCTTTCTATGTTCTTATGTTATTTTTATATTTCTTATGCTCTTTTATCTTTTTATCTTTTATCTTTCTTATGTTCTTATGTTATTTTTATCTTGTATTTGTTAGGAATAGTGTAGGAAAACTACACGTGTATTTCTTTGTAGAAGCAATGCATCTGCTTTCTGTTAGGCTTCGGTTATGCTAGCTATGACTACAGCTTGTATAAATACTCTGTAATATCTGATTCTAATCAAGATGATTTCATTTCTGCTTCTCCCTTGCTTCATTTCTAATATGGTATCAAAGCATTGCTCGATCTAACCATGACGAACTCTGCGTCTGATTCCTCTTCTTCTTCGCAATCAGCTTCTCACATTGCTAATCAATCTTCGCCTATCATTTTTCATCATCCTCTACCTATTAATCTCGATTCAAACAATTTTCTGTTCTGGTGCCATCATGTTGAATCAGTGATTCGAGCTCATAAACTTCTCAAATTCATAGAAAATCCTCAGATACCAGATCGTTTTTCAGTCGATGAGAATGGAGCAAAAACAGCTAACGAAGCATACAACATCTTGGAGCAACAAGACCAAATGTTATTTTCCTGGCTCTTAACTTCGCTTTCAGAATCACTTCATGCTCGCGTCATCTGCTGCAATCATTCACATGAGTTATGGAGTGAAATTCAGAATTTCTTCCGCTCCAGTATCATCGCGCGAGCTCGTCAACTGAAATCGGAACTGTATAACACCGGGAAAGGTTATCATTCTATTTCTGAATATTTGCTTCGTATTCACACAATTGTGGATAACCTAACGTCTGTCGGTGAGCCTATATCAACCAAGGATCACATCAATGTGATCCTTGAAGGTCTTCCTGAGGATTACGAGTCACTTATATCATTTGTCACCTCGCGAAGTATCTTAGATCCTATTACTATATCTGAATTTGAAAGTCTCTTGTTAGCGAAGGAATTGCGACTGAAGAAACTTCGCGAGTCCTCACAACAAACAATATTTGCTGCTAATGTTGCTCGACTTGAAACTTCCTCTCAAAATACTGGAATTGAAACTCAGGACACTTCAGAAAATGCTTCAGCTCAAGTTGCTCAGTTTGATACTTCTGCTCAGTTTGATACCTCTAATGTCAATTCCTCCTACAGAGGTAGAGGTCGTGGAGGTTTCAATAGGGGCAGAAGTGGTCGTTAAGGTGGTAGAAGCTCAGTTACTTGTCAAGTTTGTGGTAAAAATGGTCATAGTGCACTCGTTTGTTATCACAGATAATCCAGCTTATACTGTTACTAATCCTTCTCCTATGCAACAACAGTTTTCATATCCTATGCAACAACCTCCACCTTCATATCCTTACTCAAATCAACTTCACCAGCCTCAATACCAACCAAATCAATACCAACCTCCACCTTCACATCCCTATTCAAATCAATACCAACTATCTCCTCCAAATACAACAAGATATTCACCCAACCAACCACCTTATCCCTATCCACAACAAAGTAATCATCCCTCACAACTCAATTCATCCCCTACTGTACCAACTGCAGCTTGGGCTTCTGCAAATTCTTCTATACTAGGACCACCCCCAAATTCTCAGAACTGGTTCCCAGACTCTGGAGCTACACACCATGCCATAGCTGATCCCCTCGATCTCCAACATAGTGAGCCAATTGCTACCACTTATAAGCTGTTTATGGGCAATGGTCAAGGTTTGGAAATTAAGTCTATTGGTTTTTCATCCTTTCCCTCACCCTATCAATCATCTCTTTCTTTATCTCTCAATAACATCTTACATGTTCCTGCTATAACCAAAAATCTATCAAGTGTCGGCCAATTTGCCAAGGATAACAATGCATTTTTTGAATTTCATCCTCATGAATGTTTTGTTAAATCCCAAGTTTCTAAACAGGTTCTGCTGTATGGAATACTCGGTGAAGATGGTCTTTACAAGTTTCAATCCTTTCCAGCTTTTGGGTCTCACAACTCCACTTCAAATTTGTCCAAGTTCCATTCCCATAAATCTGTGTTTCCTAGTTCTCATGTATCTACTTGTAATAACTCTCAGTCAGACTCCAATTGTAATATTTGGCATTTAAGACTAGGTCATCCTCTTTTTGAGGCCCTTATGTTTGTACTGAATCTTTGTAATCTTCCATATATCAATAAAAATGCTATTGACTTTTGTTCTGCATGTTGTTTGGGTAAAGCTCACAGACTACCCTCTTACCCATCTACAACTGTTTTTCATTCTCCTTTTGAACTGATTTATACTGACTTATGGGGGGCTAGCTCCTATTCAGTCCTTTGATGGCTACACTTACTATATATACTTTATTGATGCATTCACTGGAAGTTGTCTTGTTGGTGGAGTTGGGTGAATGTGGTGAATGTTCCAGAAGATAGAGTCCACCACTTTGCTTAGCACTGTCAATCATCCTCCTCGAATCCAAATCCTGAAATTCACACAATTGTGAAGAGAATTTAGTTAGGCAATGTGTATCACTATTCAGTTTACTGACTGATAAGAGGTTAAACTTTAAATCTGGAACATATAACACATTGTTAAGCACTATCTTGTCAGAAATTTTGACTCTTCCAGTCCCTTTTATTGCTGAAGTAGTTCCATCAGCAATCTTCACAGTTACCTCATTCTTAATAGGGATCAATTCAGCAAAAAACTTACCGTCTCCAGTCATGTGATCTGATGCCCCTGAATCAACAATCCAATAGGGCTGATTGTGTGCAACTAGGGTTGTTAGGGCATTACCTGTCTGAGCAGTAAGGCTAGTTGATGGTGCAGGCCCCTTGCTCTGACTTATTAGATGTTGAAGAACCTCAATTTGCTCATTGGTAAATGCAGCAAGATTAGAAGTGCCCATATCTTCTTTATCTCCAGTAGCTACATAGGCTCCTTTCCCTTTGCTTGGTTTGAAATCTTTAGGTTTACCATGCAAATTCCAGCATGTTTCTTTGGTATGGCCTGGTTTCTTACAGTGATCACACCATGGCCTCCCTTTTTTCTTGTTTTCATTCTGTCTGGAAGAGGTATATAAGGCTGACCCTTCAATATTTTGTTGTTGGCCTTGAGATTTCAGACCCATCATTACCTTCCTTCTGCTTTCTTCTCTTCTGACTTCTGAGAAGGCTTCTCTAAGGGTGAGTTTCTTTCCCATTATTCTGCCCCTAACCTCATCTAGACTCTTGTCTAAACCTGACAGGAATTTGAAGACTCTCTTCCTTTCACAGATCTCCTGATATAACTTCTTATCCTCAGAACATGACCAATTGTATGTCTCAAACACATCAAGATGCTGCCAGAGTCTCACAAGGTTGTTGAAGTATTGAGTTACACTCAATTCTCCCTGCTGAAGGTTATGTAGCATTGATTCAACCTCAAATAATTCAGAAGTGTTATCTGAAGTTGAGTATGTTTCTTTCACAGCCTCCCAGATCTCTTGAGCTGTTTTGTATAGTAGGAAATTTTCTCCTATACTGGTTGTCATGGAATTGATGAGCCATGACATCACAGTATAATTCTCCTTTTTCCATTTCTTGTAGCCTGGATCTCCTTGATCTGGAGCAGGTGCATCGCCTGTCAGATAGTCCTCCTTGTCTTTTCCACACACATACATCATAACGGACTGAGACCTCTTTAGATAATTACTACCATTCAGTTTATGGCAAGTAATAATCGAATCTGACTGATTAGGAGTGGTGACTGTGCTTCCATTGATATTCTGGTTGCTGCCATCTCCAGTTGGGACAACCTCTGAATGTTCAGAGGTGACTGGGATAGATCCATCTCTCTCGGTGGTCATCCCATAGGATCCGAACTTAATCATTTTAGAGAATAACCACGCTCTGATACCATGTAGAAATAACTTGAGAAAGTAAAATGTATTTTATTTCTCTTATTCTGTGTAATACAATGAGATGAATACAGAATATATATAGCTAGAGAAAAGTGGAATAAGGAAGGAATCCTCCTAATTAAGATTCCCTAATAAAGACAAGATAATTGAGGATATTTAGAGATTCTGAGATCTCTAAGATATCTCCTCATAAATGCTAAATCGGATGAGTAATTATCTGTAATAATCTACAGGTTCAGAAGCAAACTCAGTGTGATTGATTTTCCAACTCAATCACCCTCAGTTTGAGGGGGGAATGTTAGGAATAGTGTAGGAAAATTACACGTGTATTTCTTTGTAAAAGCAATGTAACTGCTTTCTGTTAGGCTTCGGTTATGCTAGCTATGACTACAGCTTGTATAAATACTCTGTAATATCTGATTCTAATCAAGATGATTTCATTTCTGCTTCTACCTTGCTTCATTTCTAATATTATTTATCCATTTTATTTTACTCTTTATTTTTATTCTTCTTATCTTTTTTCTCCTTTTACCTCTGATATCATGGATCGTTCAGGTTTGCTAACCCCAAAATCTTTCGAGAGTAAGGCTTGGATGTTGTTGTTGT